CCTTAGCATGAAGCAACTAGTAGTACCATGGATGGGATGCTCGTTATGCAAGGTTACCCCCCAGCATTCAGTTAGGTTCCCTGAAAATTCATTGGCATCCATATATATCCAGGGGTGGGAAGACACATTGTTAGAATAAAGCAATTTTCCCAACAAATTGTCCTGGCCAGGTCTTGAACCTAGACCTCCAGACTCAGAGTCCTTCTGATGACCACAATACAATAACCCACCAAAGCTCCCACCTGGATTTCTTGATCAGCCATCCATTATGAACACAGACCATTAAATATCCACTTTTCCCTTGCCCTTTTCAATACAAAGTGCTATTGCCAAATTTGAGTTCAGTTGCTTCAAAACTGAAGAAAACAAGTGTTGACCCATCCTTATTCGCTCTGATCAAGAGCCAATGCTCCAAACATAAGCTTGTAAACTCTTAATGGTGGCCAATTTACATTATCAACCCAGCTGATAATACCAAATTACCCTGTTATACTTTCCCATTTATGCAACAACACAGTTTCTCTAGAAACTCACCCCCCAAATCATAGTTACCTTAACTTCATCATTAAAAAGAAACTGTCTATATTTTTCTCTAGCAGCCACATTTTTTAGTATTTTAAGAGCCATTTCCTCTCCAACTAAGAGATTACAGTTCATACATTCAATGCCTGCAAAAAAAATCAATAATCACCATATTAAATTCCTAATTGTTTATCACATAGGTGCACAGTAATTCAAACAGAGGTTAGGAGCTTTTTTTTAAACAGCAGTTTTCAGTTTCTGTATCAGTTTTAAAAATTCAACACCAATAGTATATTAAATTATCACAATGGATACTTTCATTGCTCACAGAAGAGAGCTACAACTGGACAAAAGAGTTTTTTATTGTGCAGGAGGGATGGAACAACTTATAAGAGAGTAATTTTTCCTCAGCATCATTGTCTATATGCAGTATGCAGACAATTGTTTTGCACACCAAGTAAACATTATTTTTTTCAACTCCAGAAAAAAGAAGATTTAGTACATACACCTTCTTACCCCTTTCACTTACAAGAGTGACCAAAAAGACTTTTCTCCTTACCATATATTAAATACAATTCAAGCACATAGATTTTGACAAGAAAGAAAAATATCAACTGAGGAACATTGTATTCAGTACCAAATTCTCAGAACTAACAAACTAGAAACTTATTCCAGACAGATCAGAGAATTTATATATTGATCTTGGGTGTGAATTTGTTAACCCTTCAACCCCTGAGAGTGATTATCAAATAACTTCTCCCTAAAGTATAACTCTTGCATCACACATCGAGGTCATGAGAATAGACGAAATGATCACCAACTATACATCCTCTTGATTGATAAACAAATTCTCCTTGAAAGCACCCAAGGAAATATATAAAGAGCAGTAGGAAGAGTATGCATACTGATACGAGGGTGTAAAGGGTTATCGGACTATGTGAGTTACCCAACTGTACTTACCAGAAGATAAACCAATCTGTAACTGGGTAACACAATATAACATCCAACAGTCATTGCAAAATGAATGGCCACATGATGCACTGCTTGTGTTGGATTTTGTACAACGCTGAAAGCATACTGGGCAGTAAAGAGATCTTGATGTCTGAAAGATGCGAGAAAATTCATTGAAGATAACATCATCCATACTATTACAACTTACACAATCTGCAAGATTTGTGGGAAGGATGCGAACCTACATGCACAAATCATAGAGTACAACTTAAAATCTTTTAAGGAAGATCTGACAAATATATTGGCACAACAAAGTAACCATGACAACATACTCATACATCATTACTCACCGTTTGAGTGGCAACAGCTTTTTCTGGAATGATCCTTCCTTCCACAAGAAGTCCTACAGGATCGACTCTGTGCCTGTATGTACAATGACAAATACTTTATGAAATATGAAGGCACTCATAGTATCATATTTATTCAATAAATTCAATATTAAAGATTGGATCATTGGATAATGCAATCCAAGAGTTTTCATTGGCTAAGCCATCATGGGTCATGAGCTATTATAGAATGCATGTGCATGAAGACAAGTTTATGCAAAGGTGTTTTTTTACATTGTAACATTCCATTTGTTCTTACAAATAGGGTTGGGAAGATTTATCTATATTTTTAGGTGCTTTTAATAAATTAAGAATTTGTTCATGCTTAGCATGCGTATATCAAGTTATGGATGCACGCAGGAAGTTTGGAGAGCACAAAAATTACGTAAGAGTAGCTCGAGGTGCAGCCGAGAGCAACTCTAGCTTTTTGAGTGCTCTCCAAACTTCCCAAGTGCATCCATAACTTGATATACGCACAGCTAAAAGCATGAGCAAATTCTTTTCTAACAGAGCAACAATGAACAAAAAATGTTCACATCATCTTATTTACGCACGGGTGCGCGTAAATAAAGATTTTGTTCATAGTGGCTCAATAGGATGTACATAGGGCAAGCACGTGTGCTATGTTATAAATTATTATTGCACCTATGCTTGTTGGATATAAGATGATTCAAGCCTAGTTAGCTATATATTGCATCATGGAATAATTGCTTAACCCTTCAACCCCTAGGGATGATGAGCATCTAATTTCTCCTTACAATATCAACCCTGAATCACACATTAAGGTCATGAGAATAAAGGAAATGATCACCAGCCAAAGAAACTCTTGATTGTTAAACAAATTCTCCTTGTCAGCATCTTAGGAAATGTATAGAGAACAGTATGGAGAATATGCATACTGATGTTAGAGTGGAAAGGGTTAAGATTAGAAGACTACAAACTTGTACAGTACCTTGTATGGCAAATTCTAAATAGATACAGATGTCACAGGAGACCAAAATGTTTTATTGAGGAATATTTGCCTTTTTAGAATAGTGGTGTTCAGCCAAAACATTTGGTTGTTTAATACGCTTTCGAGTTAATTATTAAACATGATATTGCCACCATTACCCCTAATTAGTACTACCACAAAAATATTCCATTACGTTTTGATTGCGTAAATAGGACTGTATGTTACCTTTCCAATATCTTCTCTGTGTTCCAATCGTGTTGCATAAGAAGGATTCGAGACACAGATTCCGATACCTGGTTATAAATTCAAGAAATAAGTAGAATCGTTAAGAGCACAGAAATTGAAATTCTTCCAGTATTGTAAATCGCAATTTAAGTCAATGATGGAATTGCTGAACAATTTTCGTACGCATCAGCTAGTTTTCTTAGCGATTTTACCTTAATTTCCTGAGAGATCTTGGCTACTAAAGCGTCAAAAACTTCTTGTGCTTCATTAGGATCAATGATCTGGAATTCAAAGGCTTCAGGATCGTCCTCCTTGTCTGATGCCATTCCTTCGTCTTCATCACCATTATTATAATAATAATAATCATCGTCATCTTCATCTTCGTCATACTCACTCGATTCCGGCTCTACAGAGTCTTGAGATTCAGTATCAATGCCAGACATCTTTAACTACAGGGCCACGGTGTTAGAAATTGCAAAACACGAATAAAACTACTAGAAACTTCTTGAAGTCTTTTTCGTTGATCAGGACGGCAAGAGCAGTTGTTAATGTGATGCCATTCATCCAAATATGGCTATGATGGCCAAATATAGAGGTAGTGGGACTGGGATCTACAATAGACAAATTGCCGCCATATTTGATTATTTTCGCTCCGAAATAAAAAGTTGGCAATTTCAGCCTAGTTTTAGAGTTTTAAAAGTTCCTGTTTGCCATAATGTCTCGTATCGTTCAGATATATAAAAAGAGTTTTTATTTTTCTCGCTGAGAACACTTCAAATCATGGAAACTACGTGAGAAATTGAGCCTTGCAGTTCACCTCAGCAGAAACGATGAGTACTTTTGCGGGAAAGTTCAGAGAGTATCCGTTGATTTCGGCGGACAATTTTGAAAGAGAAAACCTCGATAGCTTGGCTTTTTTTCTTTCGCACTGCCATAAAGGTAAGAATATGATTATGTTCTATTTATTTTATTTCTGTGGTGGGGAAATTTATTAGATCGATGTACAGTTTTTAGGAATTGATGCTAAGACTTGTGATGCAATTTTTTGTTAAAAAAAATATTACTTTGTACACAGCATGCACACTTCATAAGTGTCTGTGAAACAAGAGAAAACCCCAAATATATGTTTCAAAAGGCCAAGAATTTGTTTCATTTTTGTATTCATTTGTAGATCACATGGTTGGATTAGATTCTGCAGCTTTACACCATAGACTAAAGGCTAGGTATGCGAATACAAGATTCTGAACTGGACTAAGATAGAAATCTTTTGATGCACTTCTCGATTCAAATTTCCATCATGTAAGCCTGACTCAAAGGAAATTTCTAAGCCACTTAATATGATTTTATGAAATGTTGGAACAATTTCCACATAGCCTCATATTCATTATGCATGCACATCTTACACTGAATAATAAAGCCCCATATATGTATGCATAATGAATGAAGTATGGCGCTGTGTGGAAATTTTGCCTAAATGTTTAGGACAAATGTTACTAATTAACTTATATTTTCACAAATACAAAACCCTTACATAAAATGCAAAAGGTACAAATCAAATAATACACAAACATATCATTAAACAGAGATAATTTAGTGTTATCAGCTGAGTTAGCAAGGTAAATAGACCACTGTAAAGAGTTTCTAAGTTGATGTTTTGAGCATTAGCTTTTTTTCGTAAAGAAATGTCTACTAAGAAACTCTTTGTAGTGGCCAATTTACCTTTATTTAGTCATTAACTCAGTTGATAGGACTAAATCGTCTTGTTATGCTTCCTCCCTGATGTAGCACCACAGTCTCCTTAGAGATTCCCTCCTTTATTCACTAAACGAAGTGGCTGTCTTATAGAAAAACCAAACAGATGCTAGAGACCAATGTAAGACAATACTGAGAGGGTTGGGAAGAGAAAAAAAAATGGCTTTGAAGAGTACAAATAAGCTAAGCAGTTAAGCAATAGAACTTAAATGATCCCTTAAGTATCTTGCATGACCATAATTTTACTAGCTTTAGGAGAACTAACTAGCAGTACAAGTATTCACAAGTGAATACTTTGCTGATATTGAATTACTTGTACTACACGTACTGTAAGTGAGCTGGCTTTATTGCAAGTATGAAGTAAGAATGTTTCCATGCTAATTTTTTATGGTTGTAATTTAGAAGTACATCACCCAAATAATACGTGATGATTTTCCTTGTGGATTATGCAGCAGCCAAAGCACAAAAGTTTCACCAGTTAGTTCAAATAATTAATTATAATCATGTAATCAATGGTCACTTTAATAAAAAGAAAAACTGAGCACTGCACATACCTTGTAATTTTTTTCCCAACAGTATCCCCCTCTCATTGGTTTCTTTTAATTCATTTTTTCAACAGCAAAACTGTATTCCTGTATTGTTCAGAAACTACAGAGAACTTGTTGATGTGCAACCCAACATACAGTCATCTCAAAGACTATATTGTTAATATCTAAAGTTTTTGTTTCATTACATACATTGTCATTTCTTTTTCAATGTTTTTCTCTTTCTGTGTTGTTAAACAAAAGAGCATTGAAACCAAAACATCATTCTCCTTATTACAGCGCAGTATTCCTGTGGACCAGCAGACAATGGTTCCACTCATTGATGACAAGACAGGACAGGTAAATTGTTTCTTCTTGTTAAAAATGAATAAAGGGGTAAGTTTCTAAAGAAACTGTGGTGCTGCGTCGGTGGGAGAGTATAACAGGTAATTTAGTGTTAACAACTGGGTTGAAAACGTAAATTAGCCACCGTAAAGGGTAAAAAAGCTGAAGTTTCGAGCGTTAGCCCTTCGATTAACGAAGGGCTAACGCTTGAAACGTCAGCTTTTTTACCCTTTACGGTGGCTAATTTACGTTTTCAACCCAGTTGTTAACACTAAATTAACTGTTTCTTCTTGTTGTTCACTTTCCCTTTAATTTATGATCTAGCTTTCCATTAACCCCTTAATCCTCAGAGTGACTGGCTTCTAACTTCTCCTTACCATATAGCCTTGAATCAAATGTAAAGGTAGTGAGAATGAAGGAAATGATCAGCAATGTGAGAAACTCCTGATTGTCAAACAAATTCTCCTTGCCATAGGAGATGTGAAGAGAACTGTGTGGCTGTGTGGAGAATATGAATTCTAATTTTAGGGTGGAAAGGATGAATCACAAGTTCTGATATTTAAATGGTCCATTACAGATCTGAAGTTATTTGGTTTCTTAGTGTTTTTATACCAGATCAGCTTTTAGAATTCTTGTGGTTTTGAAATCTTATATTTCTTGAGGTAATAAGTAATTCCTGTTTGTCTTGCTCTTTTCATAGGAAAGTTATTTTTGTGTAACGTTGTTGCCTGCTGGACATTGTGTTGGATCTGTCATGTAAGTAAGATTTTATATATGTGTTAGTTAAAAAGTTGGGGTAAAGGTATATGTAGCTGGATTTCACCAAGTTGATAACCTTTAATTTGAATCTGTGGGGAATTTTTCTCAGCCTTCAAAATATTACTCTAAACAGAAGGACTTGCCTAAGAGTTACAATGTTTGCAAGTTTGTAAGCTGGCTACAACAGGGCGTGAAATTGCGCCTAATCCAGGCGCCAATGCGACTAAATTTTTCACTTTGGCGACCAAATCCTGAAAGTTAGTCGCCAAATTGGCGACTAGAACGTTTCATTATAACCTTACCAAGAGATATAGAGAATTTAAAAAATTTGCAAAGATAAATCCGCGGCAAACTTCCTCGTTAAGTTTGTTTCCAAAACGTAGCACATGCATCTTGATTGATAACTAAACGCCATCTTGGATTTAGATAAGCCTGAACGTTGTATATCATCCATCCTAGTGTCCACTTTGTAACACGTTAAAGATCTTTTCCCTAACTTAATTTTGGAGGGCCTATCTAGAACGCTGACGGCGTAAAGAAAGATTTTGTTTGTCTTTGAAAATGGCAACCAACTTTTTTTGAATTGGCTACCACTTTAAAGAATTTAGGAGCCAAGTGGCTATCAGAAAAAAAAGTTAATTTCACGCCCTGTACAATAACTTTTACACTGGATCAAAGTTGCCTTTGTTTCAACCCTGCCTAAATTACATTTCATCTCATGATAAAATTAAAAGAGAATAACTTTCATGTGTATTCACTATATCACTTATGTGTACACTTTGTAGGTTCTTATTTGAGGGTCCAGGTGGGAACGTGCTCTACACAGGTAATCTCAACCTTGGCTAATATAATAATTATTATTGAAAACTCTGATTGATTGAGAGCATACAGTTCAACAGCGTGTGAAGTTAACATGATAACCCAAGATCTGTAGGAGACATTGAGTCATCATGTTGCATTAAGGTCTGCCTAGTTTCAAGGCTCCTTTTCCATGTTGGGTTCTCAAAGTGTCTTTTGCAGATTGTTTAAAAAGTGTAGAATTAAGTAACGATAAAATTTGGTTCTCACATGATGTCATGATTTATCAAACCTTTGAGTCTGTGTTATCTGCCTCGGCCTTTGGCTTCAGTTGATAACTCAGACTGCAGTATTGATAATTCATGATATCATGTTCAACCTCATATAACAATAATATTGCTTAATGTATGGATTGTTGGGTTGGAGTGGGAGTTGTAGTGATAACTGGTGAAAATCGAACTGACAGAATCCAAAGATGAGAACTGAATCCACTTGTGATTCCTGCATATATGCTGTATATGATCTGCTAAAAATTAAACTGTTGAAGCCATATGCATTTAGAGGGTTAAAATCATGCAGCAAGATAATATGGTTCACTGCTTATTTTGAAAATTGAAAATCCAGTTTTTCACTGGATCTAAGTGTTCAAATTGTTAGGATAATTGAAAAAAATTGACACATTATCATTCTTTTGATTCCAGTACCATCAAGCCTGACTCTGCTTTTAACTTCAATTTTCAACAAAGCATAATTACTCTTATGTCTCCAAAAACAACTTCAGTTCTGCGACTAAAAAAAAAACAGCTCTCACATTTATGAGGGGAAAGATGAATGTAGTGTAGAAGGTGCATTTCCTTCAGAAAATCCAAGATTTGGATTCTTAAATCATATGATACACTCTAGTTTTTTTGTATCTGATTGGCAGGTGATTTTCGTTTATCCAAGGGAGATGTGAAGAGAATTTCTTTCTTTCATACCAAAGAAGGGTTTGTACATTTACCTTTAACGCACTTAGCCACAATATTTTCAGTTATTTTTTACTTGTCTGTAACAAGTCATGGCAAAGAGAAATAAAGAAAACTTTATGTCTTTGAGGGACACTTTTTTTTTCACTCCCTTATTTTTCCTGCAAAAGGTAGTAACAGATTCCAAACCTTACAATTTGTAAAGCATTATACACAGCAGTGTTCACATGGGAACTTCTTAAAAACCTTAGTGTAGTTTACCACCAAGTCATCTGTAGCTCAGTTGATAATGCATCTGACTGGGAAATCATAAGTTCTCAGGCTTGAATCCTCTTAAGAAGCTCTTGGTAGTGTTCTAACTTTTTAGGGGAAGGGAGGCAGCTAATTCAGTTTTATCAACAGAGTTGATAAATAAAAGAAAACTGCCCACTTCAGAGAGTTTCTTAAGTTTCAGAGTGATTAAAATTGAAGGGCTAACACTTAAAATATCAGATTTAGAACCTCTCTGCAGTGGCACATTTACATTTATCAACTCAGGTGACAAAACCAAAATGGTTATGACAACTATCTTGTAATACCCTCCAATGTCTCAGCACTGCAGTTTCTTTAGAAACTCACCCCCTTTGTTATTTAGTTCTTTTGGTTTGGGCTATTATCACAGTTTTAAACAGCTTTCATTTATCTCAATTTTGCTGTTTTCTGCTGTATCAACTTTTCAAGAAAAGCCTTTGTTTTTTTTTAGAATTAAAGACATCAAAAGCATTTACATTGACACAACATTTTGTCTGCCAAGAATGAAGAGCCTGCCTAGTCGGGTGGGTATCATGTAATTTTCTTTCAATTGGTTGTTTGTGATGTTAGAAGTGGCTCTATTTATTCCAAATACCTCAGTCATATTTATTGCACAATTAAAATTATTGTATATGTAAATTTTGTGGCTGGAAGCATAGCAATTTGGAATTCCCATTTGAGCCATGTCTAGGGTCCGATTTCTTGTGTTCTTAGGAAAGACACTTTATTCTCACTTTGTCTCTTTTGACCCTGGTTGGCACAAATGAAATGTAACTGCATTTAGACTTTATTATTGCAAAAGAAATTCAAAGAAAATTGCTTCAAAATTATTGATGTTGTTTTTTAAAGTTGCATGTCAAGTGTGCACGTAATTCAAAGTTTTTTAGTGCTTGATTTTGATGCTATGGTTTCCCAAATAATTAATTAATTCTCTTTTAAAATTGCAGCAACAGAGTAGAGATGCTGTCATAAACCTCATAGACAGGTAAAGTTTAGGAGGTTGTGATTGATAATCTTAAGATAATATTTTGGAATGCTATCCAACAATTTAGGGAT